CAATGGCCAGTTGGAAGTGGTGCGGATGTTGCTCGAGGCTGGAGCTGCCAAGAATGTTTCAAAGGCATGTGGAACAACTGCTTTGACGATTGCTGTGCAGCTTGGTCACATGGAAGTGATGCGATTGCTCCGCTGAGAGAGTGCCAGAGTCGAATGGCAGCAGTGTGAAGAGCGAGAAAGAGAGAGAGAGAGAGCGGCAGGCGGGAATATTGAAAATTCGCTTGAGGGAAGATCCATTTAACTTGGGTCCGTCCCATTACCTGTAACAGTCAGTAGACAATTATCACCAGTTTTGGCAAAGGCCTTTACTAACCATCATCACCACTGTTACTGGTAATGGGATATGCACAAAATTTGACCCAACAAGGCACTAGTTTCTGTGAATCTTTTTTCAATCAAGTTTTGCACAGTGCGTGCTCTACTCGGGGCCTCAGAGAGGATCATGTAGCCAGAGGTTACCAACAACGTTCATTGCTGCCTACCTGTTATCCGCCAAGTACGATATCCGCATGATATCCGTAATGTGTTTCGGTGGTAGGTAAGGATACCATCTTGTGCGACCACAGCAACAGTATGGCCCCCCACCCCAAATACAGGTTCCAGCCAAATCCACTAGTCCAAATGCCCGGTTCCGGCCAAGTCATTGCACCGCTCCCTGGTCGGCCTCCGTCCGCCGTCCAGGTGCTCTGACATCGTTGGTGCAGTTGCAGTCGACGCCCCTCAAGAGGCGAAAAGATCGACCGGACAGGTGTGCAATTCGAAGAGGAGGAATATGGCCCTTTGCTACTAGTAGTAGCTTCTTGTTCCTAGCAGTGATGGCCTCCAAGCCAAGAGCGATGGCCTCCAACCTAAGAGCGATGGCCTCCAACCTAATAGCGATGGCCTCCAACCGAATAGCGATGGCCTCCAACCTAATAGAGATGGCCTCCAACCTACTAGCGATGGCCTCCAACCTAATAGCGATGGCCTCCAACCTAATAGCGATGGCCTCCAACCGAATAGCGATGGCCTCCAACCGAATAGCGATGGCCTCCAACCTAATAGCGATGGCCTCCAACCTAATAGCGACGGCCTCCAACCTAATAGCGATGGCCTCCAACCTAATAGCGATGGCCTCCAACCTAATAACGATGGCCTCCAACCTAATAGCGATGGCCTCCAACCCAATAGCGATGGCCTCCAACCTAATAGCGATGGCCTCCAACCTAATAGCGACGGCCTCCAACCTAATAGCGATGGCCTCCAACCTAATAGCGATGGCCT